AGAGTATCCGTGCGCCGACCCGAGCCCCTAGGTGGAAAAATCCGAGCTCCAAAATTTTAGCCGAGAGGTGCCTTATGCTAAGGCGTTTTATGCCAAGGCGTCTTGGGCCGAGGTGTCCTAAGCCGAGGTGCCTTGGGTCGAGGTGAGACGTCTTGGGCCGCTCCACCTCCTTGCTCCGCGCCTTCCTCACGCACGTGGCCCGAGCTCAAAGTAGCCGACCTTGTTCTCCCTTGGTGATGTACTAGACTTGTTATTTTGACTACTCAGGTAGCACAAACTTGTTCCTTCCTTTGCCATGTGCCATACTTGAATGTTATGACTACTGCTCCTTTGCTTCGGTGATGGGTGCCACCTTTTACTTGCTACTGCCCTCCTTTGAAATACTTGTGTTTTTTTTTTTTTGGCCACCCCGGCACCAGCCGAGGTGGGCCTCGGCATCAGGCCTCGGCAGCTCGCCGAGGCGAGCCTCGGCAGCTTGCCGAGGTCGACCTCGGCAGCGTGCCGAGCTGGGAGCTTAGGCCTAATTTTTTTTTTTTTTTTTTTTTTTTGGCCATGTGTTAGCCTCTTCAACAAAGTCCTATGAGACTATGTCATCGGGCTCTCCCATCGTGGTTGGTACGCGAGGCCGGACCTCGTGCCCCCTTACGGTACGTTAGCCTCTCGGGCTAAGTCCTTCTGAACTACGCCACCGGGCTCTTCCGTCGGGGTTTGTAGGCGAGGTCGGACCTCGTGCCCCCTTAGGGTGCGCCAAACCGCTTGGGCCCAGTCCTGCCGGACCAAACCACCGGGCTCCTCCGTCGGGGTTTGTACGCGAGGTTAGACCTCGTGCCCCCTTAGGGTGCGCGTTAGCTGCTCGGGCACAGTCCGACGGGACTGTGCCACCGGGCTCTTCCGTCGGGGTTGGTACGCGAGGTCGTCCCTCGTGCCCCCTTAGGGTGCGTCCTCCGTCGGGGTTAGTACGCGAGGCCGGACCTCGTGCCCCCTTAGGGTCTGCGGGGGAGGAAGACATGAGTCAGCACTCGTTCCCCCCTGTTTCACGATTTTTTCCTCTTTTTTTTTTTTTTTTTTTTTTTTTTTTTTTTTTTTTTTTTGAAGGGAGATAAAATGCATGAGAACCAACTTTGTAACAAAAAGGTCCTGCGCACAATGTGTTCTGTAATATGCGATTTTATTCCGACTATTGCCGCTCACTAAGACATTATTAGGGGAGGGGAATGGTCCTCCTCCTAGAATAGCAACGCCAAGACCCACCTCTCACATGGTAGGTCTACTGGTAAAATTTCAGCAGGTGCTCTGAGTTCCAGACCCTGGCTATCATCTTTCCTTTGGGAGTTTTGAGCTTGTAGCTGCCCGGGCGGACCACGGCTGCTATAATGTACGGGCCCTCCCAATTAGCGGCAAACTTTCCTCCGGCTTGGGGCTGGCTCGCCTCCATTCTCCTGAGCACATAATCACCTACTTAGAAATAGCGGGGTCGGACCCGCTTATCGTGGTATGCCTTGGTCTGCCTCTGGTAGTTTTCAGCTCGAATCGCGGCTGCTTCGCGCCTGTCATCAATCAGGTGGAGGTCAATTCTATGGTGCTCCTCGTTCGTGTCAGGGTCGTAGTCCTCCTCCCGCCGGGAAGGTATGACCACCTCCGCTGGAGCTCGGGCTTCGAAACCGTAGGCTAAGGAAAAGGGTGTCTCCCCAGTAGCCCTCCGGGGGGTGGTGCGGTAGGCCCAAAGAATGGCGTCGAGCTCCTCCACCCACGCTCCCCCGCGGATTCCAGTTTCTTTTTCAGGCCGCCCACAATGGTGCGGTTGGCATTTTCCACCTGGCCATTTGATTGGGGGTAGCACCCGGCTACCCGGCTGTGAGTAATGTGCCATTCTGCACAGAACCCCTCGAAATCTTGCCCCTCGAATTGGCGTCCATTGTCGGTGATGAGTTGCATCGGGACCCCAAAACGGCACAAAATGTTTTTGTACACAAAGTGCTTGCAACGGGCACTTGTTATGGTTGCCAGCGGTTCCGCCTCTACCCACTTGGTGAAGTAGTCCACTGCTACTATGAGGTAATTCCTTTTTCCCGACCCCATGGGCAGAGCTCCCACTAGGTCCACTCCTCACCTGTGACCTGTCCCACCACGAGTCTAGAGTCACATCGGATTTTGAGCTTTTCCACCCTCATATTTAGTGCGAGGCGGAGCCCCCCCAGGAGTGCCTCATACTCGGCCTCGTTGTTGGATAATTTGAACGCAAAGCGGAGGGCGTAGTAGGCCCGAAACCCCTCCGGTGTTATGAGGACGACTCCACCCCCGCAGCTTTTGGTGCTGGAGGACCCTACCGTTGAGAGGGTCCACCACTCCTCGTCTTCATCCCGGACCCGCTCCGTTGCCTCCGGGCAGTGCACTCGACTATAAAGTCGGCCAGCGCCTGCCCCTTGATGGCGGGTCGGGGCTTGAACTGGATGACGAACTGGCTCAGCCGCATGGCCCACCTGACCAGCCTGTTTGCCGACCCCGAGGCCCTCAGTACTGCGTTTAGCGGCTGGTTGGTGAGGACCTGCACGGGGTGGGCCTGGAAGTAGTGGGTTTAGCTTCTTTGCCGTTGCATCTACTGCAAAAATGGCCTTTTCCACAGGTGTGTACCTGATCTCTGCTCCTCGTAGAGCTCGGCTCGTGTAGTATACGGGCCGCTGGACCCCCTCGTCGTCCCGGACCAATACGGAGCTGACCGCGGCCTGCGAGATGCCCAAGTACAGATATAGGACCTCCCCCTTAACGGGTTTGGCCAGGGGGGAGCGACATCAGGTACGTCTTGAGGTCTTCGAACGCCTTCTGGCACTCCTCGGACCATTCGAAGCCCTTAGTCTTTTTGAGGACTCCAAAGAACGGCAAGGACTTCTCGGCCGACCTCGAAAGGAAACGGCCCAGGGCTGCCAACCGCCCGTTGAGGCGCTGGACCTCCCGGAGGGACCTCGGAGGTTCCATGTCCAGGATGGCCTTGACCTTGTCGGGGTTGGGCTCAATGCCCCTCTTCGAGACCATGTACCCCAAAAATTTCCCCCCGTGCACCCCGAAGGTGCAGTTTTTGGGGTTCAACCGTAAATTGAAGCGTTGCATAATTGAAAATACCTCGGTAAGGTCATCTGTGTGGAAGTCGGCGTCGGTGCTCTTGACGATCATGTCGTCGACGTAGGCCTGGAGGTTGCGACCGAGGACCTACTTGAACACCTTGGCCACCATTCGGGTGTAGGTGGCACCTGAATTTATCAGTCCGAAAGCCATAACCTTTTAGCAATAGGTCCCCTCTGGCATGGTGAAGGCTGCCTTCTCCTCGTCAGCATCCTCCATGAAAATTTGGTGGTACCCCCTGAACGCATCTAGGAAGCTCATAAGGGCGCAACCTGCAGTCTCGTCCACCAGCTGATCGATGTTGGGGAGGGGAAAGGGGTCCATGGGGCAGGCCTTGTTGAGGTCGGTGTAGTCCACGCACATCCTCCAGGTGGGCGGTTTTGGGGCGAGGACTACGTTGGCCAGCCAGGTGGGGTATATGACCTCCCTAACATGACCAATCTCCAGCAGTGTGTCGACCTCCTTTTTGACGAACTCCCTCCTCTCGGCGGAGAGGTACCTTTTGCGCTGTTGGATTGGCCTGACCGCGGGGTCGACGGCCAACTTGTGTGTGATCACGTCTCGGCTGAGGCCTGGCATATCCTCGGGACCCCATGCAAAGACCTCCTTGTAGCTCCTGATGGTGTTGATTATCCGTGCCCGGAGCTCGGCCGGGAGGCCGACCCCTACCTTCACAACCCGGTCGGTTCGGCTGAGGTCGAGGATGACCTCCTCTGTCTCGACCACGGGCTCGGCCCGAGGTCGACCTACCTCCTCCCGAAATGCCTTCTCGGTAATGGTATGTACCTGGAGGTCCTTTTGACCGATCTGGCGGCACGCCTTCAAGTAGCAGCTGTGGCTTACCTTGTGGTCTCCCCGGGCGACCCCGACCCCGGTCGGTGTCGGGAACTTGAGACACAGGTGCTCCATGGAAATTAAGCACCTGAGGTCCTCCAGGGCGGGTCGGCCGAGTATTATGTTGTGGGCGCAGCTGATTTTCACGACTACGAACTCGATCTCCCACCTCCTGGTGTGAGGTGGGGTGTCTATCTCTACCTCCAAATTGATCGACCCCTCCGTCTCAATTGAGTCCCCCGTGAACCCGGACAGGGGGGTCCGTACCTGCTCCAGCTGCCCTCTTGAGAGTCCCAGCTGGGTGAACGTGTCGTAGTACATGACGTTCACCGAGCTACCCGTGTCTACGAGCACCCGGTGCACCACCACGTTGTTGATGTCCAGCTTGACCACCAGGGCGTCTCGGTAGGGGAGGGGCCCATCTGGCAGGTCGGCGTCAGTGAACGTGATGGGCTCCCTTTTTGGCTTCTTCTCGTGGGGGGTACGTGTGACCTCCCCCACGTACAAGCTCCTCGCCCACCTCTTCCGCTCGGCTGGCGAGTCCCCTCCCTCGGGCCCCCCAAAGATGACGTAGATGGCCCGTTTCTTCGGGGGCTGGGAGTCCTCTGTCGTCTTCTCCTCCTCCTCGGAACTGTAGTCGTGGTGGTCCCTCTTGCGGGGAGGAGCCGAGGTGGATGGCACCTGGCCACCCCCCTTCCGCCATACATTGCCCTGCTTCTGGCCCTGGGCCTGTTCCTGCGCCTGGCTGGGCTTCTTAATGAATTGGCCGAGGTAGCCCATTTGGATGAGCTGCTCGATTTGTCTTCTTAGGAGGATGCATTCGTCTGTATCGTGTCCTTCTGCCGGTGGAACCTGCAGTACTTGTTGGGGTCCCACCTCGCCGATATCTTCATGCACTCCTCCTTCGGGAATACCATGATTCCCTGGTCCTCCGCGTGCGCCAAGATAGTACCCACGGGTTGTGTCAGCGGGGTGAGATAGCGTGTGGGGTACATCCTGGGCCCCTCAGCGTACTCACGTCGGTGTGGTCGGGGCGCCTTGCGCTCCTCCTAGGGTGCCTTGTCTTTTCGACCTCTTCCTTCTTCTTGCTCCTTCTTCCTCTTCTCGGCAGCCTCGGCGTCAGCGTACCTTGCTGCCTTGTCCATCAGGTCGGTGTAGGTCCTGGGGGTGTACCTGATGAGGTTTTGGTGAAAAGCGCCCGACCTCAAGTTGTTCCGGAAAACTACCATGGCCGATTTCGCATCAAAGTCGGCGACCCCCATGACCTCTTTCTTCCACTTGCTGAGGTACTCGGCTAGTGATTCTGAGCTCCCCTGTTTCAAATCACACAGGTCGGCAATTTGCTTCTTCCGTTGTATGCTGATGGCGAAATGGGATAGGAACTGTTGGGTGAGGTCCGCAAAGGTGGAGATGGACACCGCCGGGAGGGATCCGAACCAGTCATGCGCCTGCCCGTCCAGGGTGGCGAAGAACCCCCTACACAGGATGGCGTCTGTCGCCTCGGTGATCATCATGGCGGCTCTGTACCTGGTCAGGTGTGCCCGTGGGTCCGTGGTCCCCGAGTACGCTTTAATGGTGGGAAAGCGAAAATCTCGAGGTAAGGGCTCCTCCATGATGGCGTTTGCGAACGGGGAGGACAACACATCCTGAGGCTCTGGGGATCCGTCCCTCTTGTCGAACTTCCTCTGGAGCTCATCCATCCTCCTCTGCAGCTGCTCGACCTCTACCCGATGGGAGCTCGGAGCTCTACCATTCGTTTCCCCTGATCGTTCGACCCGGGAGGCCTGTGCACGCCGAGGTGGGACTCGGGTCCCCCGTCCCGGTGACCCCCGCGGGCCTGCCTCTTATCGCAGCGGGGCCCGGGGTCCGTGGCTCGGCGACCTCCGGGTGACTGACTACTGTCGTGCCTGCCTGCGGGAGCAGGATTCTGCTGGTGGAGGCTCATTAGCAGTAGGCCTTGGGCCCAACCTCTCACGGGCTGGCACCCGGTCGCCCAACCTCTCCAGGGCGGGCCTGGTTTGGGTTGGGGCCCTTCCATCGTCGTCACGCTGGCGGTCTCGGCGGGAGTCCCCTCTCCCTCGCCTCTCCGATGGTCGAGGCGAGTTGACCTCCCCCTGGGTGACACGTGCTTGGGGCGGTCGGGTGCTCGGGCCACTGCGCCTCCTGGTGGGAGGAGGCGGAGGCGACGCCGGCGCCCCTCCGGTGGCGCCTAGGGCGGCTTGTTCCTCTGCCCGGAGGCCCACTGCGACGCGCGCCAGCACGGTGGAGGCTTGTTCGAAGACCGCCACCCCCTCCCGGATGAGTGCGCGAGCCGGAGCGGGGGCGACGGGGGGTGGTGGCGGCGCACCACTGCTACGGTGGTTGGTGAGCTGGGCCCTCATATCCTCCCCCGACCTGGTGGAGGCGGCCGGTTGGATGCTGGGGGTGGGGGCCCCGTTGGGGCCGTTCCCGTTCGCGACGAGCTGGGTGCCGCGGGAACCATTGGTATGACGAGAGCTGGATCTCGATCGTGCCATCGCTGTCGATGAACAATAGTGGGGAGAGCGCTTAAGCTTATATAGCAGCTCTCAACAAGAGCACCAATGATGGATTTAATTAACTCGGGAGAGTGCCCGAATCAATAAATCCGGATAAGAATGTAATATAATAAGAATAATAAGCGAATAATATAGAACGATGTCGTGAAGATCGCTGGGGACCGTATATTATATTAATTGCCGTAGTATTTGGCTATTACAAAGATCCGATAGGACAAAGTGTGTAATAAGTGTAGAATATGTAATTAATCGCCCTTTGTTAGGACAAGGAGGGGGGTTTTTATACAAGCTAACCCCCCAACCGCTTCCCCCTAAATCGGGGGGTGGTTAGATCTCACTTTGACCGGGCCCGGGCGGACCGGGTCGGGTCGGGTCCCGAGCTCGGGTAGGACCGAGCTCCCCGACCCGAGCCGACCTACGCGGAGCTCGGGTCGGGGAATTTGAATGTAAAGAATTTTTATATTAGAGAAAAATAAATACAATATAACTAATGAAATTATTTCTCTTATTTAATTTATTGATAATGAATAATTTTTTTTTTGAATAAAGACATTGTAGACACATAATTCTAAATTAAAGAGATGCATATGTATTATTTTTTGTTGTAGCTACTAAATTATTATTTAATTTAATAAGAGTAAAATTAAATAGAGTACTAATTATGTCAACTTTGATTGGGATAGGGTTCGAACCTAAGACTTTTCTTATTGAAATCAATGAGTAAGTTAACGGTGAACTGACAGAAATTAACGGAAAAGATAATATTTAACGGAAAAGTTAACGGATAATCATATTCATTAAGGATAAATTAGGAAATCTTAAGGAAAAATTAAAATCTGATCAATCTGAGCCATTCATTTGATTAAAAAATTTGACCGCCATTTTTTCTACCCATTATAGGCCTAACTCTCTTGGGCTCTTATTAGTATAGTAGATATATATATATATATATATATATATATATATATATATATATATATATATATATATATATATATATATATATATATATATGCTCATTATTAAATGAGCCCATCTTCCCACAAGTCCGTGTGGACAGATTAGATCTGGACCGTTGGAATCATGAGATCAATGTTATATAAAAATGGTTACATATGGGCCTTAATTTGTAATTACACTTTTGAAAATATGGTTAATTACCGCAAATTATGCCATGGAATCGTGTTCACCGAGAATGGTGAACACAAGGCAAAACGACGTCGTTTTTAGGCAAAAAAAAAAAAAATTTGCGGATGTGGAGTTAACGGCGCGCGTTTGATCAAATTATGAATTTTCTGTTATGAGATTATGAATTTTATGAAAATTCATAATCTCATAACAGAAAATTCATAATCGCATAACAGAAAATTCATAATCTCACAACTGAAAATTCATAATCTCATAACAGAAAATTCATAATCTTATAACAGAAAATTCATAATCTCATGGTTCCAAAGTGAATGTGTAGGCATGGTTCCAAAGTGAATGTGCAGGCATGGATTCATAATTTATGAATGTTCGTGATTTCGGACGGGAATATGTAGGCATGGTTCCAAAGTGAATGTGCAGGCATGAATTCATAATTTATGAATGTCCGAAATTATGAATGTAATGAAAATTCATAATCTCATAACAGAAAATTCATAATCGCATAATAGAAAATTCATAATCTCATAACTGAAAATTCATAATCTCATAACAGAAAATTCATAATCTTATAACAGAAAATTCATAATCTCATGGTTCCAAAGTGAATGTGTAGGCATGGTTCCAAAGTGAATGTGCAGGCATGGATTCATAATTTATGAATGTCCGTGATTTCGGACGGGAATGTGTAGGCATGGTTCCAAAGTGAATGTGCAGGCATAAATTCATAATTTATGAATGTCCGAAATCTTTGTTCACCTCAAATTAAAGTGAAACCGCAAAATGTGAAAATAAAGAAGAAAAGTCACGCAATTAATTAAGAAAAAAAAAAAAAGATAACGGTGTACTAACACCGTTGGAACCGTGTTCACCATGAATGGTGAACACGGTTCCATGGCATAACGTCCCGTTAATTACACTAGAGACCGAATGTGTAACAAAAATGGAAAATATAGTGGATTTTAGGGATTTGAATAGACTAATTATTACATGTTTCCTATTATTACATACTAGTATTTGTCCCGTGCGATGCACGGAAAATATATTATAAAAATATACCCTATATGAGGTTTATTCAAATATAAAATTTTTGTTATTTAATAATTTTTTTTTTGAAGGCTGTTATTTAATAATTATTATGTGTGAATTCCTATAATAAAATTATGAACATAAATATATTTATAATTAAAATAATATGTAAGGTGGGTGATTACTACAAATCTTAAACTATATTAAAAGTTTAGTACATAGTATTTAATATTACAAATTTTTAAGAACTTAGTAAACTACAATAGTAATTGAATTACAATTTTAGAGTCACCACGGATCAACATTTTTAGACCTTTGAGATTTCTAACTCTAGATGTAGCAACATACAATTGACCTTTAAAGACCAAAATCACAATCTTAGTTCGAACATTGATTTTTTCTTCCAAATACTATCGAATTAAGTGTGTAATCAATAAAAGATGAGAACTAATAATTCGAGAATATAATCTTAATGTTATTAAGCCTATTTCACGTCAATTAAGTTGGATAGTGTTGTTGGATAGTATCCGATGAATCCACGAATAACGCATCTTTGTCTCCGTAGTCCTCAATATGCACATCAACAATCTTAAATATTAGGCCGCCTAACTATGCCATATATTAATTTCAAACTTATGAACTTTGGGATTGCATGCAATAAAAAGTATATTTTAAATATACTAAGGGTACATTATATATGTATGTAAGGTACTTTCAATATAAAAATAATGTATTTTTAATATATTAAAAATGTATTTGATATTATTATGTTATTATAAATATAAATAAAAAATAGAAAAATTAAAATATTTTAAATTATTTAATATAATAATATTTTTGAGCATCCATTGGTCAAGTATTTATTATTTTTAAAGAATACAAAATTACAATTAAAATTAAAATTATAATTTTTTATGGTTAATATAATCTCTAATTATGTGCATATTCAAATAAATTTATACAGAGAATTTATATAATTACATCGATTTATTCTTAATTGTATTTCATCTATATTATAATTTTCACAATACGAATAATAACTAAGATAATTACATTTGGAAAGCAAATTTCAAATTTTGTAGGTGTAAATTTAAACTCTAATTGAACACATTTTTTATATGATTATATAATATATAACTATTTTATTTTTCAAAAGTATATTTTTTATATGATTATATAATATATAGCTATTTTATTTTTTAAATATTGTGTTTTTTTTTTTTTATAATAAAGGATGTTGTTGCATTAATTGTAACATTAAATATTTCTCAAACCATATAGCTTTATTATATAAAGAATTTTTTTACCGTGGATTTGGATAGACTAATTAAGTTAGGGGTATTTTAGGGATTTAAATAGTAAATGTCGTCCGAATATTTGGGCCTTAATTTAGGAATTGGTTCCTTAGATAGGGTTTTGCCTTATAGGTTGCACAATTGCATCTGTAACATATGCGTTTCACACACTACTTCTCGCCAATCGACCTCTGCCTAACGAGCCGTTGCAATGTCCGACGACCCTACAGTCCAGAGACGTCACCGAAATTCTGGAGCGGGGTAGCGGTGTTTACGATTAATTGAATTCTGTTTATTCGTCAGTAATCTGGGTTTGTAATCGTCATAAACACCCACCCATCTGTGCATCGAAGTGGGTTTTGGTGTGCAATTTCATGAGTTTTCCGTGAACTGTGGTGGTTCTAGTGGACTGTGTTGGATGTGTTGCGTCCAGTATATAGGGTGGCAATTTGGATTTTCCCAGTTTTTTAATATGCAACTTGTGCATATTAGTGTGCAAAATCACATCTGTTGAACTGGTTAGGAACTGTACACCATTTTGTGTTTTATTGTGCATCTATTGAGTCAGTAGTTATCAATCATGCGGGGCAAAGTGGCTTAATATGTTTGTGCAACACTGGTTAGGAACTGTGCACCATTTTGTGTTTTACTGTGCATCGATTGAGTCATGGGGTGTGTGCAAAAGGTTATTTG